TCTGTTTTTAGATCTATGTTGTGTACTATTTTTTTATGCTTTTTATTTTTATTTTTTTTGCCAATTAATATGAGCTGTTCTTATACCGTATTAATTGGGTCATTTTATTTTTACTTTTTAATTGGGTCATTTTGTAAAAAATATCTGAAAAGTGATCATTTTGTTAGTATACCATGTATAAAAATAACCATTTTAAGTAATTTTCCTTTAAATTTTTCATCATTAGTTTTTTTTTTTATTAACCTGAATATCCAATCCGTTATGCGAACTGAGTAATCCCAGAAAGATCACCTGTTTTAAACATTAGTTATTTTATTCATTAAAAAGTAACACATATAAGGATTGAATAGATAAAATATTTTTAATAAAAATGAAATTAATAAACCTGTACACTGTAACAAGTATTTTCATTTGATTTGATTTTCTATAATTTTTAATAAGAATATCTTCTACAAATTTTCTATAATTTCTATAAAATATACGGCTAAAAAAATAAAATTCTATTTTAAAATTTTTAAAATCTATTATATTATCAAAATATTATATACATTTGTTATCCCGAATACAATTTCTAAAAAGAATTTATATATAATAATAATAATTCAATCTCATTAGCGGGAAACGCATAAACAAAATTAGTTTATTTCTCCACACATCAAGTTTTAACGAATTTGATAAATTTGGAGTTTTCTCCCTTTTTACGTCCACATGCCCTCTGTGTGGCGACATGGGGGCGAAAAAAGGAAAGAGAGCGATGAGGTTTATCTCGCTTTTGGCATAGTGGTCCCCCAGTGGGGGGGCTCGCACGACAGGTTATTAGCTTAGTGGGTAGAGCGTTCCCCTGATATTTGCGTCGTTGTGCCTGGGCTGTGAGAGCTCTCAGCCACATGGATAGTTCAATGTGCTTATCGGCGTCTGACCCTGAGATGTGGATCATCCAAGGCACATTAGCATGGCGTACTCCTGCTGTAGTGAATAATATAAAGAATCTGCTAGATCAAATTTGAAAACGTACACCTCATTTTTTTCTATTTTAAAAAATCTGTTGAAGGTGTTCAAATGGCCAAACAGTTAAACTTACGAGTGAATTTTATTTCGAAAATACTATATCGTTTTTCCACAACGAGACTAAAAAATATTGTAATTTTTAAGATGAAAAGAGCAAGATATAATTAATTAATTAATTAATAATCAAGTTATATTATTTGATTTGTTAAAAAAAATACACAATACCTTTAGGTCTCGTTTGGTTTGAAGAAATGAAATGGATTTGGGATATTTGCATTTCAAATCCATTTCAATCTCATGTTTGTTTTGTTGGATTATCTGGATTTGAAATCATAAGATTTAATTAAAATCTTTCAAATATAGGATTTCAAAATCCTTAGGGAGTGCTCGGGATTTCACGGGATTTCGTAAGGTTGTATGAATAAGGTTTTAGAAAAATGCTAGAAACATTTGTTTTGTAATAATCAATTAATAAAAATGTAATTCAATTATTTTTATACTTATTTATAATAAAATCTAATTTCATTTCAAATCCTACAAACCAAACACACGAATGATTTAAAATTCATTTCAATCTAAATCCCTAGAAAACAAACGGGATACAAGAATGGAAGGGTAAAATGGACATTTTGAAGGGATGTAGATTTTTCTCTAAAAACAGCTCATAGAGTGATGGAACTATAGAAGCGTACAAACATGGGATGGGATGTTGCCATTCAAACATCAACCCAATGGGGGTTGGTGAGATTAAAAGACCATTCTACCCTTCTCAACAACCCACATCCACCAACCCCCACCTAGAAAATGACATGATGATGACACACTTGGCTCATAAAATCCATCTCTTACAAGTCAATGTAAGATGACCAATTGAGGCACCAACTATCTTGAGTTTGCATAATATATAAATGGGTATTTTAGGTAATTTGTTATTAGTTATCATATTTTAATTTAAATGTAAATAATAATTGACCTTTTTTTAGTAACACTGAGTTTTCGAGGTAGCTTATGTGCACCGACTAATCCTTTAGATCATCATAAGTGGTTTGGAGTCATTGCAGGTGAACCTCCATGATCACAAGGTCTTTGACAACGTCTGGATTTGAACTTGAGGTAGATAAAATTTTCCACTACATCCACATAAGGCTTAATCAGTATGTCACGAGCCAAGTGGTTAATAATAATAAACTTTATTTATGTGGGTTATTATTATTTTTTATTTTTTGTTCGAATTTATTACGTATGTTACATGTTTATCTCAAAGTAATACATTCTATACGAAAAATATTGTCCTCCTACACACATTCTTTATGTTTTATCTGTTATTAAATCACATCAGATGTGTTTTATACAAGGACGCGTTGGTCATAGTCTTGCTTTCTCTTTCATTTAATTAACATATTTGTTTAGTTCAATCCTCCCTAACGTGTTCATGAAATTAAATTCCGTATTCGAATAATATGGTCGTGATATCACGATTAGGAGACAAACAACGTCTATATTCTATATATTTTCTCTCATTCTGTTCACAATCTTGTGTTATATATATTTTTTTATTCTGGGTTCACGGTTTTAAAATGCATATGATAGATGAGGTATCCAGTCTCTTATAAACCAATATATGTTTCCTTCTTTAACCCGTGTGTAATTTTAAATAAATATCAATCAATTAATGATTTATGTCTTCAAAACCTAATCAGGTTTATTTTCAAAACGTTTATAATTTATTTTTTCAACAAACGAAAATTCAAAGTTTTAGTTCGATCATATGCTATGAAAAAATTTATAATACGTTCAAATCATATATCTATACTATATTATAAAATATTTGATAAAAACTTTTAAAAATCATTTTTTATGTATGAAGTACTGTATATTGATGCATATTACTTAAAATTCAAGATTACAATGAAATTATTCATAAGTACAACTTATTAAAGTTTCATGTTTGAATTTGCGTAACTAACTGCGGATAAACATAACCAATTAGAGGATAAATATTTTATTTTAAAATATAAAAAAATCTAAAATATAATTAGAATAATTATCGAGTTCTAACAAAACAATTAATTATTATCCTTGGAAAAAATTATATTATTAAACCTATTTAAATTACTTCGTTATTAAGCCTAAATTAAATTATAAAAAAAAAATTGAATTAAAAAATTAAACAAAAAATAAAAACATTATCGTTTTGTCAAATTTTTATGATATCTTCAAATTTATATTTTATTCAAAAATAAAAGCATTATCTTTTTTTCAAAATCATATAAAACCATACTATAACATCGAGTGAGATAAAAAAAAATATAATACTAAAATCAAGATGTATCTCGCTGCATTGTACGACTACTCTTCTACTAACTTAAAAATCTATTTAAACGGTTCAATTTTAGTATCATAAGAAAATCTTAACAATAACCACAAAGGTGTTGCCTAATTGGTTTGAGCTTGACTTCAAAGGTTAAAAGTAACAGGAGGTCACAGGTTCAAATCCAATGAGGAATAAAAATCTCCTTGTGCCCACGGAGGTTCAAATGCGATGACTCCGGGCTATTTGCAAAGCAGGTGGTCACCATGGGATTAGTCAGCTGCATAGCAGATTGTATCCAGGTTAATAAATAAAAAGAAAATCTTAACAATGTCATTTTTATTCCCCTCATCTATTCTGCACCGGTAATAATATTAATTACATCAAAATAAATGATTATATGTTATATATGTAAAGCATTATAATTTTTTTTTGGTAACTTTCTTATTTTAAATGATTAAATCCATAAACTCTTATTTCCCCCAATGAATAAACTATTGAATTTTCTCATTTTCAAATATCAAGTTTATGAACAATTTTTTTAATAAATAAAATATAAAACTTTTAAAATTTGGTTAACTGCATTCTTTTAACCCAATAAAATATACGTGTAAATTATAACCAGCTAGAAAGGTTTTAAAGTAATAAAGCTAAATCAATTTTACCGTTCCTAAATCCTTCGTCACCCCATTATCGTCCGTACTTTATATCGCCCATTGCTATTGTTGGCCCCTGCCATCGATCTTCCTCCTTTTTTTTTGAGTATTTCGACCATCTTTTCGTTACAACAATTTAATGGAGTACGTATAAATTGATCAAAAAACAAGGAAAACGGGGAAATATAACCGATCAATAAGAGGGAATCAATGGCAGGGGCCAACCAACGACGATGATGGCCAATGATAGTGAGCGAGCGACAATGGAGCAACAAGGGGGAGCAATGCATTTGGTGTGAGGGGTATTAGTGATGTAGGATTTGAGAATAGTCAAACTGAATTAGACTTTTTTTACTTTAAAATTTTCTAGCTGATTATAGGTAATTTTTAGAATAAAATGATGTAAGTAACTAATTTTTAAAAATTTGATGATTTTGTATCTAAAAGAATATATAGAGACTTAACTATTTAAAATGAGAAAGTTTAATAGTTTATTCATTCGAAAAAATCACGACTTAGGGGACGTTTACCAAACACTTACCCGGTGAGTGCTTAAGGGTAAAAATTAACACTATCATTTACTTACCGGGTAAGATTTTAGTCCATCAAAACGGCATCGTATGCAATAATTTACCCGATAAGCACTTACCATGGTAAGAGTCGTTGTCTTCACTTACCGGGTAAGACTCTTGATCATTGTCTTGCTCTTACCGGATAAGCTTCTTGGTCCTTATCATATTCATCCGATAATGTAATATGATTTGATAAACGTTTACTCGAGTAAACATTTAGTAAACGACCCCTTAATCAAATGAAAAAGTTTGTCGTGGTTTTTTGGGTTTTATTTGAAAAGATGGTAAAAAAAAAAGAGTGAACAAAAAAAAAAAAAACGAATGGCACAAAATGGAAAAAAAGTAATTGTTTAAGGGTGCAAAATGTAAATATGCACATCCCCGCCTCGCGGTGGGGGCCACTCTGGCGCTCAAAAATTTAAGCCGGTGCGCAACTCTTGTTGCGATCGCTTCATGGAATCCGCAAAATCTGACCTAATTCCACAATCTTCTACTGTTGACCCCTGCTCAGATTGGGATCTGCCGTTTACCGACGAAGAACTTCAATCAATTGAAGATGTATTTGAATCTGCCGCTTCTTCTTCTTCCTCATCTCGGAAATCTGGTGCCGATTGCGACGGAGATCGTCCGAGAACTCGACGGAGGTTGCCGGATTCTCTGTTTAATTTTGGAGAACAATCCACGTTGTTATCTGACAAATCATCAAGTGAATGTAACCCAATTGGTGCATCAAGTTCATTTTCTTTATTGCCTTGCCGTACAAACCGGTTCTCTAGCCCGTGTGGCTCTTCTTATCGTGGTAATTTGTTTGCCTTATTTTTTGAATGTGATATTTGTGGACAAGTGTGTCTTGGTTTCTTGCTAATACCGGGGAAAATGTAAATGGAGAAATTCAAGCTTCTTGTATTGTATTTGAGGATAGAAATGATGAAATTAGTATGATAAAAATAGGATTAAAATAACGAATTCCTACGATTTACTCTGAAAATTTGTCGATTTCCGTGTATATTTTTTTCACGAGAAAAAGTAGGCCAATGCATATTATTCCTGTCCCAAAATTAGAGATACAATTCTAAAATGACAAATTTTAAGGGTGAATGTTATCTCAAAATGTGCCCTTAATGTTATCTAAGGGTTTAGCAGTGGTGGTACTGTACTGTAATGATGGATAAGAAAATATTATACAGTTAGGGAAGTTCAAGGACATCATAATGTTGGATATGGAACCTATAAACTGGTCAAGGACTTCATGTTTCAAAACTACGAATGCACCAGAAAATTGATGAATTAGGTAATCAAAATTGACCATGGAATTGAGCAAATTGTAGAACCATGTAAATATAGTGTTTGATTTTCTTTGCTTGCAACAATTATTGTGTGTGTTGGGTGATTATCATTCCCAACATATAAGACTTCATAGTCATGTATTTGTTTTCAAATGCATCTCCTTTTCTTGAATATGTACAATGATTTTGGACAAGGGGGTAATATGAAACTTACTTGATGTGAATAACTGGATATGTTAGATGGCAAAACCTTGCTATGGTTCTTACTGCAAAGTAACAAAGACGGCATGATTTCATGCTAAAGGATGTAGTTTCATGTAAATTGATTTGGAAATTCAAAATGAGTTTATCCTTTTATTTCTTTGTCCACAGCCAGGCCTTCATAAGGACCTTGACTTGGTAAAGTGAGTTGCAATTAGAGTCCTCGGAACTATATACTTTCAACAATTACAACCACCATGTAACTGAAGGATCAATTGTAGGATCATCCATTACATTGTCTTCTTGTTGCTTTAGTTTGAAAAATGAACAAGGCTAGAGTAAACAGTTTATATGACTAAATGGTAGCAATCATATTTATATTTTATATGTCACACAAAGTGATCCTTCTCTTTAACATTTTGTAATGTCGTATAATGTTTCACTCGTTTGCATTGGTTCTGAGACAGAATTTGTGATAAGAAATATCTAATGGCTAGCTAATTATCTCTATCTGGAATACAACTCACCCTGTAAAGTAGTAGTTACAAAGATACAAAAGTACAAAAGAGATTTTAAGCATCTTCTTTGTGATTCCTGTTTCAGATAAGTTAAAGATGAGATATCCTGCAATGTCTTTTAAAGGTCATATTGTGTACAGCAGAACATTTTCAGAGGTGGAGAAAGCTGCAAATGAGCTGTTAACTTTTGTTGAAACTAAGAATAGGGATGGGGGTCATGCTGTTTTTGGATTTGACATCGAGTGGAGACCAACATTCAAGAAAGGTTACTAGCTGAACATAATATATTTTTTATTGCATTTTGTCATTTGTTCTTGATTCCATGTCCATTTGTGTGCAGAATTTCCTTTTCTTCTTGAGACTGCCATCTCTAGAGAATGTTTAAGGAGCGAGCTTACATTAGTACATATAACTCTCAAAGAAATAATATTCACCAATGGAGTTGTGTAGTCTAGTCCAACATGTATTTTTAATTCATTCTGTGTGACAACTAGCTTAGCAGTAAAAAACTTTCCTTGAATGTAAAGATATACTCCACTAACAAATAGAGATACATTTTGAACTTTCCAATTCATTGGTCATGCTTTCAGAACATAATTGTTAGGATTTTGTTTGTTAATTTATCACTATTTTTCAAGTTACTGTGTTTGTTGAAAAGTGTAATGTAGTTGACATTTTTTAACAGAACATTTGAACAGGGAGCATTGAATTGACCATCTTTTCTTAGTATGGACTTCTTAAATTCACACCGTCGTTGACCCAGGGAGGCTCTTAGCAACTTTTAGGTAGCAGCCTTGGTGGGGATGAGGTGTTTGCCTTTGTACTCTCACCTTGTGCACAAATGCTGCCCCTCTTCCACTATGGTATCACAGTTGCATTAGAGGATGATCCTTCAGCATCATATAATTCAATAAGGTGAAACACAGATTTCTATATGCAGGTAACTTCAACAAGCTACAATGAATTCCCGCCATGCATGACTTCTAGCTCTGTGTGGACTAGAAAAGGGTGGTTGTGTTTACCAGTCCAACATAGTTACCTAGACACATTATCTTGTATGTTGCCAAATAAAGAGTGTTATCCTTGAGTTTCTTTCTAAAGCTACCATTGACCACCCTTGGATACGTAGAAAGCAGGACCATAGGGTGGAGTTATGTAGCTTAACCTTATGGTAGTAGCCTACTTGTAACATGAATTTGATGTACACCCGGTAAAAAAACAGTAAAAGCAGAGGTACACCTAAGTTCTGTTTCTCACAATTGAATGATTACAAGGGGTTTTCTAGCTTTCGAGAGGCCAGAAGCTCTCCACAGGTCTCATGTCCAATTTGACACCAAAACAGAACACCCTTTGCCTGGTCCCTCACACTCTTATTTTAAACTAGACCTCTGCATTAACTTATTACCTACTTGTACATCATCTGTATTAACTACTTGTACCACTAATAGTATAGGGTATAACAGACTTACATAAGGGGACGCTATTTTTGTATATTAGAAAAGGACAGTGGACGCATAGATAAAAGGTTGAGATTTTGTTATGAATTAACATGCAATCTCAGGAGAACTAGAGTGGTTCTGGTTCTATCTTTATTGACCATTTTTGGAACGTACCAGGCGACGATCTCACAGTGACCTCACCCCGAACCCTCCAGAGCGGAGGAGTTACAGCATCTCCAACAGATTCTCAATATTTTCTCTAAAGTAGAGAACCAAAAGTCAATCTCTAAAAAGAATTACATTTAACTCCAAGAGATTCTCTATTTTAGAGATTTCAACATTCATTACTATTAAAATATTCTATAAGTTATCATCCCAGTACACTTTTTAAAAAGAATTTATGTAAAATAATAATAATTCAATCCCATTTTCTCTATTTTTAAAGAATCTCTTAGGTGCCTTTTTATTCTGGTAGACAGTTCTTTGTTGGGAATGGGAATTGATTAGCTTATTTGACAGTGCCTTTCTAATTTCTTTCTGTTTGTGTTTCTTTCCCTTTCTATTTGAAATACAAAGCTGCAGCTTCTAGCTCTGAATCTAATTAGTAGCAGGTACAGCAGTTGAATTTGTTAATACATTTTTGTTGTCGAAAGCTATTCCTTTTACAGAGAGCTCTCAACCACGCAGGTGTCAAACAAGGGAAGGCGGCAGTACTACAAATATGTGCTGGTGCTGCCCGTTGTCATGTAATGCATATTATTCATTCTGGATTCCCCGAAAATTTGAAGTCTCTTCTACGGGATCCTAGATCTGTAAAGGTCATTGAACTTGTAAACTTCACTTGTTATTTCTGTCCTGACTATTATGCGATCATTGCATCTCATCAGAAGATGTTTATGTGCCCCTTACCAAATGAACAGGTCGGAGTTGGCATTGCTGGCGATGCTCGTAAGATCTTCAATGATCATAATGCATCTGTAGAAGCTTTAGAAGATCTATCAAGCTTAGCCAATCAAAAGCTTGGTGGTGAGCCCAAGAGCTGGGGTCTAGCGTCATTAACCGAGACACTTACATGCAAACAGGTTATTGTTACTTTCTCTAGTTCATTTTACCATTTCAAATTCTTGATGTTCACATAGAAGTATGTATGAATATTGATGAACTGTAAAGAAAAGTGCGCGGTTAACTTGACAAGTCATATGAACTTAAGAAAATAAGACCTGTAACATGGATTGAAGCAATTCCGTTAGGATTCTGTACTTGAACCTGGAAATTGAACCATAATGTGTCAAATCTTTAGAACTCTCTTTCTTATCTGGATATTGGTATTATCCTATAAAACAGAGTAAGATATTATAGCCTATAGCAGCAATTATTTGAAAGCTAACTTCTTGCTGGGTTGAAAGTGGTTCATCTTTGTACAGAAATTTGCTTTTGGAGTGATGCACTTTCTGAAATATCGTACCTGGCTTTCAATTGCAAACTAACCTTAATTGTTACAAAGATGCCTAATAAGACTGTAATTTGCAAGAATGAAACATTTTGGAGAAGTTACGGAAATATGAAAATAAAAAACCGGTGCACTTGTCCCTTTTGTCTGAAAGTGATCCATTCTTGCAAGGCATATTCTTTTTTATTTATCATTTTCCATGGATGATCTTTATTTGCACCAAAAAACCAAGCAGAATGGTGCAAAAAGGATTTTCCATGGATTTTTAATCAACCAAAACCATCCAATGAATTTGATTTTAATCTATTATTCATATTGTTTCACATGTTATGTTCTTGTGTGTGAGTACGAGTGTGTGTTTCATATACAAACGTGTTTTTGACGCAAAACATTCCTCATGTTCCATCTATGAAACCAAACTGTGTGAACATTGCGTGTTCACAAACATATACAAACTGGTTTTCACGGTTTGTAACATTTGGATGGTTTCTATTTGATCTGCTCTCTTAACCATACTTACCTGCCATCTTGCAGGTTCCAAAGCCATCCAAAATTAGATTAGGAAACTGGGAGGCTAATCCTTTGTCAAAAGAACAGCTGAAATATGCAGCCACAGATGCATTTGTTTCTTGGCACTTGTTTGAGGTAAGCAAATGACACCCAACTCTTGCTTACTATTCACAATTATATGAAGATAAATGTACAAAAAGTTGAAACCCCCC